TTTCTAAAAATAATCAAGTAATTGGTGTCGTTCTCGTATTGTGTTAGACTCGGCACTACCTAATACACTTACCAGGTATTCCATGGTAGGGTGACGCATCCAACCATACTTAAGTAAAGACCGAAGATAACAGTATGAGGTTTGATGGTAGACATCTGCAAATGTCCATAGTATAACTCATTACGGTTGAGAGTACCCAGCTTTCTTCTACCTTGTCGCTTTACACTGTTAGGAATAATAACGCAAATTAACACAAGAAATTTGAGCATAAAAAAGATGGCGTAATTATCAAATAGAGACAGCGGACGTTCCGGTCTAGAAATACACTGAACAACGAAGAAAAACAAGTGTAAAAATGCATAGAGCTGATAAGGGTCCCATATGTGGTTCAACCGGTTGTCCCAATATTGCAGTGAACCCCACTCTCAATATGGCTTGCATCTGCGGGGTCGTAGCCTGGCAAGTGTTGTACACAAGTAAAGGTGGCTAAGCCAAATAATGGAGAAAACAATCATGGCGTGAAACACAAAGGGACATAAGTGCTACAAATGGGTGCCAAGGGCTCGTGAGAATCAGTCGATCGTAGAGTCACGTACTGTTCAACAAGTAGCAAACCTGCACGCATTCCACTGGAACTCTTATCACCCGTTGAAGACCTCGACACGAAGGAAACGGCACACAAAGATCAGAGCTTTGGTCCGATTGATTCCAATATCAGGTTCTTGTGGATATCAAGCCAAGTTGATCGTGAGGTGGAAGCTTAACGACGTTGGCTGCAGAAAACGGAACAGGGAACAGTTAGCTTCGTGGTCTCGGGACAGTGAATAACACAGTCACAGACCATCTATAGAGGGATGTTTGACGTAAGTAGTTGCTGAAACCAGTTCTTCTAAGGCATGAGTAATTTACACGGGGAACCTAGCTCCTTAGGAACAAGACGAAGATGCCTATGAGAAAAATTAGCTTACCTCGACGTGCCGAAAACGGCATCTGCATCAGGAGCACCCTTGGGATGATTGTACCTCACCCATCGATCACGATTCACATTCACAGGGAATTGGTGTGCCAACACCGCATCTTGACTGCCCAGATGGCCTAGTGTATGAAAAAACCGGAAAAATAGACTGGGGACATGAGCAGCTTGTGGGCGTCTCAGTTCATCATCAAGACACGGAATAGGTGGTAGCAAAATTAAGGAGCATGCAAGGTAAAAGCTTGTTGCAAATCGCATCTTAGGACCATTTTACAAACCTCAACACCTGCAGGTGTTAAAGTACGTCAGACAGGTTAACAAAGAAATCTGCTTCGTTCGCACTTCCAGACCGCCACAGACCATACAGGTGAAAACGTGCTATTTCAACTGCGAGGCTTTCAAAAATAAAGCCTTTCTGACCAACGAAAGAGCTGCTGTTGATAGGTTCAAATTACTCTCTGTTGGTAACGAAACCGTTTGTAGGGTTTACGGGGGTTCATCAACATATCACACAAGCAGTAAACGCAATACGAAAAGCAGAGCGCTCTCATACTCACCCCACTCCATCTCCTCTTCTTTTTGCGCCTCGTGCATTTCCAGAACCAACTGTTTCATTCGGGCCTTCTCCTCGCGTTCAGCAGCTTCTGCTTGCATATAGCGTGCTGCAAATTGAACGGTTTCAGGTACGGCCAGCGACACCAGATGCGGTCGATTACCCCGACGAGTAATGAGACTGAACGGAACCGTTTTCTAGGTAGAAAGGGAATGAACGGATCGCACAGATGACTTAACACAGAAATCATTACATCTGGATGAAAACTTGGTGAATAAGAAGGAACAATACGTTGGGTATTAACTCTCGTAGGCAGTGATACACGGTGATCGCACAGTGCTTTTGTGCATACATATCATGAAGGCGGCATTCGATACGGACACTGATCATACTGTGAGGAATACATCAGTGCGGCGAAACCTCAAAATAAAACCGGACTCGATAGCTAATAGATGATCGTTCCACAATAAAGGCCAAATAAACTGGGAAGCAACAACTGTTTGGAAAGCGGAGAGGCCAACTTCGAAGACGCAAAATAATGGCAAGCACCGAATGGGTGAGAGGAAATCCAGAAAGCCCAAAAATGAGGATACACAGAGGGATCTCAACCAAACCATGAGTGAGGGTGATGGGTCTGCAAGAACTCCATACACTCAAATGATCGTTTATTCCACTTTTCCATCCGAGGTATCAAGGAGACCCGCGCAGCGCACGGAGGTCTATAGGTGGCGTCGCAGTCCCGACTCCTGATAATATATAAAGGATCGTAAGTAGGATCCATCGATCAAATGTTTTTCTGATCGCCTTGCTGCTTCTTACAATAAAAGTAAAAAGATAGCGACAAGAAGACACATACAAGTATCGGTATTCGCCAACGTTCGCATACATAGTTCCAGATTCTGAACTGATTCGGACTAACTCTGAATTACGTAGAAAAAACGCGAAATGTAGCCAACCGAGACCCACCTGTTGATTTTCAGTTGTTTGAGGTTGCGTAGAATCCAAACTCGGTTGACAATTCTCCTCGTCAGATTTAGGTTGGAAGGCAGACAACAGCGCCGCCGTGTGTGCGGGCTGTTGCGCGGATGGCTTTGCGGAAGTAGTGGTGGAAGATCGAACGCGTGTGGCTACTACTTGAATAGTGTCAGGAGAGGGTAGAACTGAGCCAGTGGGTATTCGGATTCCGCCAGCCCCTGGCTCCGCCGGACTGGAAACACTTCCTGCACCAGCTGCAGCTGCACTGCCAGGGGGGCCTGTTAGTAACAGCGCCTCTGCCATCATGCGATCTAAGGCCTCACGGAATTCCACATCTTCAGGACACTCTATATAACGCGGTTTCAAGCCTAAACGTATTAATCGTTCCTCCTCGCTTTCCACAATATCCGGCTGATCCTCGTCAAATGTGTTTGCTTGCTTAGACACCTGCAAGAGGAAAACGCAGGTATCCAAGGAAAAGCCTTTCACAGGGTAACCACTATAAATATGGAGTATAAGTGGTTAGCTGACTCGACACTCAGCTAAAAAACGGAGTACGCTGGAAACATCAACCCGTCAAGTGAACGTTTGCATAAAGACCCCACCAGTTCCACTTCTTAGCTTGGAATACCTGTTACAGATGCACTGTGATTACACGTGTTGTGAGAAGTATCATCTTGAAGAACGCACAACAATAAACTATGCACTCGTTCATGTAGTTCCTACAGCCTCACTTCAAATCTACCTTCAAAATAGAAAATTCTGATGCCTGACTTAATGCCGAACGAGCTTAGGAGCGGCCGGTTAACCAAACAGCAGAGGGTGTTCAATTTTTTGTTCCCCCTCTGAAAAACAATCTCACCAAACCAAACCATCTGTGCGTTCACCGTCATAGTATTAGTGTGGAGGGAGACGACATCTTCGCTGCCTGCGTAGTAAATCAGCTGATCGAACAATGAGATGGGCATTGTTCAACCTGGAACAGAAACCAATATAACCTCAACCATATTCAAAGATAGATGCACAAACCGAGTGAACTGAGTGATGGTCCAGCTGTAAATGGGGCTGTATTGAGCTCCATCCTACACGGTCCTATAATTCGGATCACACCCGTGTAATGGTAGTAGCTACGAAAGAAGCCATTTTAATTTAAGAAGAAAGCTAAAAGGTACTTCGACAATACACTTAAGCGAGTGTCCTGTTACATAGGACTACGTTGTGCTGACGCTATGGCAAATATCCATCATCGATCCAATTAAACGGAGCAAGTACCGTGCTTATGGCTTACGATAAATGGGAGAATGAAAACGGCCTGCGAATTAGTTGGACGAAAGCTGCAAGACCATTAGAAACAGTGTGAGCAGGCGCCGAATGTAAAGTTCGGTAGCTCTTTCATGGCAGACGAACTAGCCACACTTCGTAGGTTACATTGAACCAGAGAATCGACCCCCTTTAGATCACATTTTGTCCGGTCATGTTCAAGGAGGGTATATGTTCTAGGCTTGGACAGTCGAACTGAGAACTGCCATCTTCATGGTTGGGAACGCGACCGGAACATGACCCACTGACCGTTAGTGACGCGTTCGCGTCCAAGCTACCACCTTTAGTGTGTGGTTATCTTCCTCAAGTAACCTGTCACAGATGAACGCCACTGTATTGGCTAGAACTGTCGATTTATATATAAAAATGCTAGATTAACTCCTGCAACCGGACGTAGTTTCCATTGGAAAGATAATGGGTCAAGTATCTGACACCTACCTAGTCCTATCTGAAGGTTGTGGTACTGATTTGATATAGTACTAAAACAGAAAATGTGTCGCGTATTCAAAGGAACTGTATTCATTAAGTCCTGTAAAACACTTTCGTGTGGAATACTAACGTCCAAATAATCTGATCACGCAAATACATCAACTGAACTCACAAATGGCATGCTACAACCATCAAATGCTACAGGTTGTGCTGTAAATTTGAATCAACTTCCCCTTGGAGCCCGTCTAACTGCGTGCAGCTCAGCTACCCACATGGAGTAGAAATTTCTAGATTATGTAGGCGAACATTGCGATTAAGGTCTTGTCCCAACTGCGGGAGAACGTCAGTCCTTTCCTTCGGACCCCGTCGAGGAATTTTCTTGCTAGAAAACCTCGATATGAAGAATTTTTCCACACAGAATTTTCCCAATTGCACCTACCCCCTCCATGGAACAAATAGTGTGGTAACAAAAGGGCACATTCTAGTTACCCAGGTGGCTGATTCACTGCCCTAAGAAAAGACACCACAACAGAAATGCCAATGGTCCAAACTATCGCCTCAGGGTGTTACGAGCACAAACAATAGAAGGCACTGCCACATTAGTTAACGCTTTCCAACCATGCTTAAATTAGCCTTGGAAACGCGCATAATCAGTCATAGGAACGGTTGAAAACCGAATTAGTGAGGAGGTACTAACCCACTGCACACAATATACGACACGGTTTCTGTTGGTCACTCGCCCATGGAGAAACAGCCCCATCGACAAACTTCTAGGGGTATTCCTTCGAGGTGAAAGCTTTTCGGCTTCGGATGTGAATCTTGTTCGGTGTGTGCAACGTCAGAGATGATCGGCTGTCAGTATGTATGTATGCATCTCATTAGGCTCGGAGCATATCTTGTTCGACTGAAAGCTTCAAAGTGGAGCTTCCGTGGTTGACAGATGTTTATCCCTACAATGTTTATCTACTGAAAGGAACCGCTACGCATAAAGCCATGATATTGATCAGACTAGTCCACCCAGCACGCTGACTGGGGCAAGCGGGTCCAGTGAGGAAAAAGTACGGTCTTGGCTAATCGCGTGGATATGAAGTTCAATGGTGAAGGTCGACGAATCAGTTGGCCACTGTACCCTCGAACATTTCCACAATAGTTCCAAATCGGAATGGCTTCCCCAAATGCGGCACGAAAACGTGATTAATTGAAAAGGACTCGGTCAAACGTCCGAATGATGAAACAAAAAACAGGGCGATCAACTGATTTACTGAAGTAAAACCAACCTCTTGTCCTTCGGTTTGCACCGGTGTATCTGCACACATACTGTCCATCTTCGTACGACTATGTCGCCTGCTCCCATCAAGGTCCACACGATCTGCATGTGCAGACCGAGTCCCCCGTTCCTCATCTTCTTCGTCATCATCGTCCTCATCGTCTTCGTCCTCGTCCATAGCATAGTCATCCTCATCCAGCGGAATATCTGTAAGAAAGTGTACGGCCAGGAAACTATCTGATCTGTGTCTATCAAACGACGTTCGGAGTTAGTGAGGGTATGGGGGAATGTACACAAAAACAGACATACGGAAATACCGACGGCAACCACACTAGCCAGTGAGTAAACGAGTGGGTGGTTGGATAATTATGGCAGACTGGAAGCGTGGCGCACTGGATGCATTCACTTTAAAGCTAGGCCTGCCGGAAATCTATCCGAATATGATAACAGTAGCCATGCAGTTACCTTCCCCAGGTTCAGCTTCTTCTGCTATTGTGTCCATGTGACCTGGTCCGGTGGGTCTGGCAGAATGGGGAATTGCGCCGTTTTGTTCCGATTGACCATTCACAAGTTGACCGTCTGATGTTTCTGATGTTTCACCCATCAACCCATAGGTTGCTTTGAGCCGTACGAGGCGAGGTAAATAGCGAGCTTCCAGACGCTTGACTAGGCGTTCGGCTTGCGCGAGATTTTTCGCGCGACCTGAGGTGAATCGGAGCTGAGCGAGAGTCTCCATGTAGAACTGTTCCACTGCGGCTGGAAATGGAAACGGAGTGAACACTAAACCATCTAGTGGACCCTCTGTAGTGGGATTCACCGGGGGCGACTGTATTTCCAACGGATGAACCGATGAGTCCTGTTTCTGAACCGATTCTGCGGTGCTCTGCGTATCAAGTTCATTTTGGTTGTCTTCACTTACACCTGTTTCCGCTGACACATGATCCTTCTCAGACAAAGTTTTGGTCTTCAAATCTTCCAACTGCACCCACATTGGTTGTGAGCGTTTGAACCAGTAATATCGCTGAAACGGTAAGCAATTGAATTCAGCCGAATAGTATCAACATCAAAAACTGGTTAAGCATGGTTGTGTTATCTCGGTAATAATCAAGCAACTTGTAAATAGCACAGCTTGAGCGAGATGGCCCAAGTGGTTAGAGCGCGAGTTTACTGACGGAAGGTCTGTGGTTCGAACCCGAACTCTGCTTCTCGACTTCTCTTGTTTAGGCTTGGGCAGCCTGGCAGTGTCCCAGCCCTCGTGCGACCTCCGGGTAGCAGTTAGGCATCGGAAGGGTGCTACAACTGAACGAAATGGCACAACGCAGATGCACTCCCTAAGCGTGAATCTTAATTCTTTTTCCCCAAATCATGAACTTCTAAAATTCGTCTAATGACGAATTCGTCATTATATTTGTTGTCTGTGAACACCATGGCCAGAATATTTCCACACAAAACCAAAGAAATAAAGATTTAAAAAGCACCCCTAGAAAGATCTCAGTGAAGTGACAGTTTGTTCGCTCAAACCCATTGTCTGAGCTAGCCTGCTTGGCTTATGTGTCCCATCAATGTTCGTCGGGGTTGCCGTAGTTGTCCATGCAAACGGTCTCAACCGGGCTCAAACCAGACCAGTGGGTTGGCGAGCCTAAGCAGGCAGAATTTGCTGAGCTTATGAAATGTTCGGGTTTTCCAAACTGTCGAGAACTCTGGAAGAATAGGTACAGCCTCGGATGGACGTTGTGGTAATCCAAAAGAAGGGATGCACGGAGTGTATCGGCTTACTGATTTGCTGTGCAAAGCAGTAGATATGAATGCTGATGAAAATGAGTGACCACGTTTGGTTGACGGCCTTGTCCAGGGTATCATGGTCGCACTGACCATAAAGCTTGCCACAAATGAGCAGTGACCCGACAAACGAGAAAACTTACTTGAAAATAGATCAGAAAGATATTCAGCTTCCGCCGTTTTTTCCCTAGATCAAAGAATCCGCCTGACGTTTCCAGAAGTGTGCAGATCAGTGTGATCCGAAAAAGCGAATCAGGAGGATCTAGCAAGCTGACGAAATTATCTTGTAATTTAAAAAAAATGAGAAGAGATTGATTAGCAAATAACAGTGCATGAAAGGATGAATAGACTTTGATGGAAGTCGAGAGATAAACCTGGAAATTTGGCAACTCTGTGGCTGAGCAAGTCTGTAAGACTTTGATGTCAGTCCAACTGAAGGTGATAGGAAGTGGAACTCGGTAGGCATCAGGAATCCTGGATGACTGCTAGTGGGATTATTATATCCTTCTTAATGCTGCATGACCCGATTGAAAACACTGATGACCCAAGTAGACAAGAAACAAAAGCAAGTACAAGTTGTTTGAGCCCCAGAAGGTGAACAGACGTGGGGCAAACTCAGCAACCTTATGAATGACATGTTATGTCAAGAAAACACACTCCGCTAGCTCGAATATCGTTGGCGAATATCAGAAACGAGGGATTGGCTATATCAGTTGAGTGTCCAGTAAACACCAAATTCATTTGCATATGAGCTGAATTATAAATTCGATAAAAGTAACATAGGAAAAACGGTCGACTTAGAGCAAAATCTTCTTCAAAAGTGTGGAACCACCTATGAGGAACAGGGTTATCATTATCACTGGTCACTGACACTTGCAGACATTGCTCAACCAAGTAATCGGTAGCCCTGGTGCATCAAAGCTATCGCCTTCAATGTGTAGCTTCTCGTTCTCTCAAGGCAGTATACAACGCGCGCCGTTGCCTCCAATATCTGGCTATATTTACCACCGTTCTCCGACTTTTCGGTGAGCGAAAGTGTGACAGCTGAAACCAACAAGTCTTTGGTTTAGAACTGAATGCGACCTCATCAGATGTGCAGTATTTACATAAAGCTTGGTATCCTGTCATCGTTTTTATGCCTTCCCTGATGCCTCCACATCAGGGAAGAAACTCAACACAATGGGCAAGAAACAAGAGCAGTTGTGTCGTGTACAACAAAGGCCAACTGAATGTGAACAAAACATACGTTGCTCATTCAGAAATCAAACTTACTATCCAGGCTGACTCCGAAGGTGAGTAGGGAATACAACATTTTGAAAATGACCGGTGAGTCAACCAAGCAATAATTGTACAGTAGTCCCAAGTATTTAACCATGCTGATCCGCCGTTGATTGAGCTGGGACAGATTGAGCTGAGGCAGAAAAAAAGTTAGAAGGTAGATCTCTCAGTAAGAAACCCAAGAAGGTATAACGTAGAAAAATAAGCATCAGAGTCAGGTACGGAAGACACAGTCAGACAGCAACCTTCAACCACAAGTTAAATGGGAGTAGTTCGTCGGAATTACAGCTGCAATGTAGGGGCTGCCCAGTGATAGGAAAGTAGGCAAGGCAATCAAGCACACTATGACAAATCTCACCTCCATTCCAACCCGAATATCTTCGATCACGTTGTCGACCACAGCCGTAGCGAAATTGGTATGAAAGACGGCCAGACCGGATAGGACGCTAGCCAAGCAATTGATATTTGTGTAACGTAACTCCCATGCTCGTGTGAACAGTACCTCCGCAAAGTTCACTAACTATAACAAATCAGAACAAAACGTCAGATGGTTGGCAATTTGAGGACTGCTCAAATAAGCGCCGAACAGAAACAGTCCATAAACACCCGAGTGACCGCGGCAGTTCAAACGCGTCCACTCAGTGAATTGGACCTCGCACTACTGCAAGATACGAGCTGCATGAAAGTTAACATTAAAAAATAATCAGGACACTACAAAATCTTGCCCAGAGAGTCCTGGTTTGAGGAGTTTAAGCACTTTAATATAGTTACGAATTTTATGCATATCGGACTGTAAATATGCCCAGCCAAACGTCGGGTTTCCTAATGGCGATTATAGTTAGGTCTTGAAGCTACGTTAACATTTCCGCATTCATTAATCAACCCAATAAGTACAAGCTGTTACAAAACCGAACCAAGAAAACTGTTACTAAACCAAGACTGGAATGAAAAACACGTAGCTCGCTCAGGCAACGGTGCCGGGCTGATTAAAACAGCAGACTATTCTGGGTTGTCTGAGAAATAGGCTAACTCACCTCTGTGTCATCCCAGTCTATTTTTCGAACTGAACGGAGAACGCTGTTCACTGTGGAACGGTCCAAATCACGCCACAAAAGCCGACGCAAGTATTGCATGGTTGGAGTTAGATGCACGGATTCAGCCACCTTCGGAAGTCAACAGAAGCAGTAAAGGAAATCAACACTGGAGTGACAAATAATTGGAGTTGAAGTAGAGCGTAGTAGAGCTGAAGTAGAGCGATAGAATACAGCGGTAACGCATCCTCACCGAATAAACGATCAGAGGAACCATCTACTTTTTTATGAGACGACGCCTCTTCGTGACCAAATACGCCGGTAACTATTACTACATGCATCCCTACCCTGACCATGATAAAAATGTGAAAATTCAGAGTTGCGGACGCAACGGTCTGGACTGTTATACAGCGCTCTATAAAAATACCACGTTTATCATTAAAAATGTTGCTGTTCTAAACAAAGATGATGCCTCGTTTAAAAAACTGCTTACCAGCACAGGTACGTCTGGGCCAATGCCGACCAGCGGACAGAGATGATACCTCGTTTAAAAAACTGCTTACCAGCACACAGCCTCCTATCAGGTACGTCTGGGCCAATGCCGACCAGCGATCTGATGGTGCGTATTTTTACTTTTACGATAGCCAACAGCGAGGTTTGGTTTCAAAGTAAAAACAGCTAAGCAAGCTCTGTTGCGATTGTGAATAATTACACCGGTTTACGGTGACTTCAAACATGGGTGGACTGACAAGACCAAGCACCAGGACTCGTTCGTGCGGTTGTAACTCCCACAGCCCAGTCGCTGTGACCTTAGATACAAGACACCTCAAGCCCGGTCCACTCAGAAGGGACGAACAACTTTGCCCGACCCAACTCTGCGTTGCGATTGAGGTTCGGAAATTTTACTCTTTCAGAATCAGCTATCATTCGTTAGCTTTACTCTCAAACATCAACCGTGAACTCCGCTTGTTTCAAAGGAGATAACTTGAGGGAGATTTCAAGGCTCGGAAACACACACTTGCACAAGGAAGTGGTTAAACTACTACTAAAAGATCTGCGGACAACTAGATGGTCATTAAAGTCAATCGGAAGAAGTTACATCAAGGACAAGGTCTTAGGGATACAAAGGTCTCTACTCAAGAAATTGGTTGACGGACGGATTAGGAGTGCACAATGTTCTCTCGGATAAACTGGTGGGCAAGTGCGCCTTCTGGTAGAGACACATAAGCACGGGGATGTATACAGAGTTGAGTGTTGAGTCTTGGTAGTTTCTCAAAAGGTTTTACCTTTTGCGGAGAGTAAGCGAGGACCGCTCTTCAAATACACTAGATTATAGAAGCGGAAAAGTCAACGATAAGCTTCATCCACTTACGTGACGGGTCGATGGGGGAGGATTGCAATAGTAGTAGGTGTTTTCTATCATTATTGCGTACCGCTGGTCCATGTGCAAAGCAGTCTTCTTGCGCAGCATCACTTCCAGATAGACTTTAGTCCGCTTGTGTGAAGTCGGAAGCCGATAGAGAAATCGGCCACAAGTGTCCAATAGTGCACATGCCATTTCAATGTTGTGGTGCACAAACTGTGGCAAGAGTTGTTTGAGCAGGCCCAACGCCTGGTGCGTTGGGAAAATGCGAAATTTGACCAATTCACCTAGTAGGCAAAATACCAAATAAGCAGTGTCAAATTCTAACTGGACAGGGTTTGATTACAACTTGAAGTTGGCACAGCTATTCACGCCTTGTGTACAATTTCATACACCACTCACGGATGTACACCGGGAAAGTACGACGAAAACGATCATCGTTGTTGACAACAATAAACAAGGAATGAACTTCTTTTGAAAAACAAGAATTAGACGAAACCAAGAAAAGTGAGACCTAGGCAAAACAGCTAGGAATGAAGGTACCATTGAGACATGGGCTTGCGCTGTCTATGGCCCCACTGCAAACTTTGGAAGGAGCAAAGTTGTAATACAACCGAACTGTTGGTTGCAAGAAAAAAAGAACACGCTGCTGACTCAATGCACCGGTCTTGGTACGAGCGTGATCACACGCTGGAGGCGATTTTCGACTGCGACGACGTCATGCTTCTCGATCAGTAGAAAGCGTCGCCGTCAAATAAAATCAGTTCGTCAGAGCCACGTGGAACACGTTAGTCGCACCAGCCAGTTACATTGACTGGGGGTAAGTGGCAGATAGATATAGTCACACAACAAGGACCATCGCCTCTGACACTTCGGTGTGCTCAGATGGTAGAGAATGCGTAACAGTTGAACACACGAAAGCCTAGTTATGAAATATTTGTTCCAACCAGTTAATCATCTTATTAATGGCAAAGTCAGAATACTCTGACTCTGTCGTCGAACCTGGCAGGCGTCCTGATAAACACCAAGTCATGGACTTGGATTCTGATTACATGTTTTGGCGAAGACGTGGTTAGATTCCGAAAAGCTTAACTCTCACTGAAGGTGGAAGTCATGACGCAAATTGTATGTACCATCTCGCTCCTAATCCGATGAACCACCATCCAGGGTTCTGGTTAACTTCACTGGTGATTCATAAGCTTACTGACTAAATCACTTCCACCATGCACACAGGTTGGGCGAAAGAATATCCACCAGTCGGATGGGGGGTAGAAATCCGAAGAAGTCTAGTCAAAGTAATCTACGCAAAGTGGTCGACTCGTTTAGCACAACACAACCCAATTCTCCTGAAAACCACCTGCAACCGATCAATGGTGCTAGCCCTATGTGAGTACGGATCTCATACAATGATTCTGTCCGGGGGCCGCCCACCCCTAATAACCGAACAGTACGTCAATTGGATGGATGTGTCAGGTGCGGGCTTGGATGTGTCGCGGGCTACGGACCAAACGAAGGCATGTCAGGATTGGTCAGCCAATCTGGATCGAGCGTCTTTAGATCGACGCTTCTCGTCCACTCACGGAGATTTTAGCACAACCTTGTTGAAATTCTGTGATTGCCTTGTAAATACGATCGTAATTATTTTCCTTTGTCTCCATAACGGAATGTCTGTAGCTACCACACCTTTTTGTATACCATAGTCTGCAGAACAGGAAGCCAAGGGACCCATATAAAGTTGCACGACCGTTTAGCAGATCACAACAGATTCGGGGGCGATGTTAGCCAGAAAACGAAAGTATTTGTTGCGTGGTAAGTTCAGTCACTGGTCACCGGTACAGCACCTTCCCTACACATAATGAGACGTGAGCAAACTACTTGTCAGACTCAAAAATTATCAGCTCTGCCCACCATAAGTGCTTTTTTTGCCGAACAAATGTAATGTAATGTGAAACCACGCTCGGTGGAGCATAAAACCTGTATTTCTTTTGGCACCTGATAAACCTGCGGAGGGTAAAGCCAAAGTGCGACTTTAGGAGGCCGTCCTGGTTCACGTCTATGGTAGCAGGTCCACGTGTGTGCCCTACTTTGGAACCAAGTCATTATTCCTCCAAATAGCGCCTAAGAAACACCTCCTATAACATTCGCCCCCAATGTGAAGGCCTGGACAGCTAATGTCATACTGTTACAGCGCTCAGCAAACAGATATTGCAGAATGAACAAATGGATGGTATCCGTTATGAACTACAGATTACACCATAGAAACAAATGGGTTCCAACTATGTAACACCATGTGTTTAGTCCGATTCGACTAGACAGAGAAAAAATCACATTGCACTCAAGCAATAGCCCACTTCGCAGAGCTTAAAACACGAACTAGCCTCAGAGAGGAGTTGAACAATGATCCACCACGGCTTTCCCTGCCTTCCGGCCGCAAACGGTGTACAAACGTATATCTATTTTTGCTAGGAAATATTTTATACTCATTCCCACTAGAAGCAGCAAATCAAAACAGGGCGTGTTTGCCGGAGAAATATTATTATCACCTACACAATCATTCAAATAAGTTAAATACACCAAACTGACAAGCTTTATAACCGACCAACCAAAGGTAACTTGATTTAAAAGCACCTACCGATGAACCGGACAACCCTCAACTTAGACTCCAAGTTCATCTGATCGCGCTTGGATACACGCCACCTGAATTCTCCCGTCAACATCGTATTAACATCCGCCACTAGATCGGGCATGACAGGAGCAAGAGCAGCCACGAGACGGGCATAGAATGGAAGCAAATCGTAGCGCGTACGTGGCACCATAAGAAGCGCACGCGCAAGACGTCTGCGGTTCGACCGTTTGTTTAGGTTGAGACAAAAGTCGATTGCAGCCTGGAAAAAAACATGACAGGAGGGGATAAGTAAACCACATTACACATCCAAACTACTAAGTGGGCGAAGCTCAACGCTTCTAAAATGGGCGTTCTCAACAGACAATCCAAAATGTAGGAATAGGAGTTCCTTTAGAAGAAGCTGTTTGGATTTGCAAACTATGAGGTATGAAAAACATTAATTGTATAACTATCGTATTGACGATAGTTATAATGAAAAACAACGGCAAACATCCTCGAACCCTTCCCTTCTCTTCATCCCAATCTTCGTATAACCTACGAATGCGAGACAAATGGCGGTTTGCCTTTTTGAGACATACTTGTACGTAGGCGTGCGGCACTCAGTATTCGCGCAATGGAATTGAACTTTGGAAAGTTGTGACGTGTCCCTGATGGATTAAAGCAATCGGACAATTGAGTTGAGAGTACCAGGCCAAACTTTTAAGCCCAATTTAGGCATCCCGGTGTTTCAGCGATGCTGGGAAATTATTCCACAAGATTTTTCAGACAGAGGCATGGTTGCTTCAGTGAACAATCGAATTTGATGAGCTGCAGAAATATAAACGTATATTAGGGCGGCTTTTGGTTTGAGCATATACCCAACAAAATGAAACATTTTTCCGCAGAAAGTTTTGCAGCTGAGTTTAATGGCACCTAGGCGTGCAGTTTAGCACAGTTCAATTTGCCGCAACACCGTTTGGACTAGTCGATACTTGCAGTTTTGCACTGATTTTCTATAAGGGAAAACGTTGGTAGCTCAGGTAGCATATATAGTCGTTGGCTTGTTCGCTGAGCTAGGCAGTTTGATCGCAAAAGTTTCATCACCAATCGAGGTGACAGCATCAGTGCGTTATTGGGAAGCGTAGTGGTGCGTAGGGGTGGGTTATCTAAGACACCATATAAGAAAGAGAGATTCAGCTGGATTCAGTCGAATCTTCTATCAAAACAAAATTCGTATTCAGCTGAGAGGGGGGATCTGTGGACATCTACCTGTCCAAACTGGGTTCAAGTAGAACATAAGATTGGCGTGGGCTCGGGGACTGCGCCTATCTGATGACCCAGAAGAGTGAAACCGATCGTGAGTTGTCAAGGGGTTCCCGGTAACCTTTTGCCTAGTTTGTTACGTCTAAATAACGTAGTACAATATCTCAAATATCGTAACAACTGAAATACAATACAGCCTGATACAGCACATCCAGTTGAGGCGGACCGCCATAAACCAGAGGTTCAGCCAACTTCAGTTGAGTCTACTATCAAAACCAAATTCGTGTGCAAATGAGAGTATTGGTTACACCTTGCTTTACAGAGCCAGAAGGATATGTAACCAAGAACCATTAAACAGACGAGGATTATCTAAGTTAGACTTGGTTAGCAAGTGGCTAACCCAATCGCTTCATTGTGATTCACAACAAATCAAGACAGACTTATTCCGCGGTTCCAAAAACAGAAGACAAGAATATAAGTTTTCGGCAACCAAGTAGCCAACCGTACGCACAAAGTCACATCGGTCCTAAAACACATTTATCCAGTTGAACGGTTCCATCTAGTGCACACCGTAACACGACTTCAAACAGACACATCAGCAAATAGTTCGTTCGCTGTTTCTGCCTCTCGTGTAATCTGTTACTTCATGTGTCGCTGCAGTGACACACATTGACAGAACGGATTTTGGCGTTTATTCTGTCGAGTGTCTGGATACATATTAAAGGTCACAACTAGATTGCCCGGGTCAGAAGTCAAACTGGAACTCACATGTATCGATCGAAAGATACCTCCTTGATACTGGTCATCGCACTTACCCCACGGATTACGCCAGTGCCCTGTTGCGATATAAGAAACCCAAGTTGCTGGCAATTTTTGAGGCCATATTAAGCATGATTTACCAGACAGCACCATGCGCGTCGAAGGTCTTTGGCTCGAACCTAGTGATTACGATGGTGCTGATAATGAGACCGATTCAAGACAGCCGACAAGTGTCCGTTTTACAGTTATCGTTCTCGCCTGGCTACATTATCTCCCATGTTTTATGTCCGCAACTGAAGACAGTAAAACAAATGTCAACATATCGCGACATACATGTACTCCCTGCCCCAAACCATTGCGTGAAACCCCGGTGCTCGAACCTGCTCGCTGTGTATATGCTGCCAAATATTAGGAACTCGTTGCAGCATTTTTCGCTGGTACACATGCGGTTGCATTTTCAGTGGAGGTGAGGAAAAAACATGTGATTAGGACAATTTGTCGTGTAAAACACATTCTTGCCTGTGGACGATTTTGATCATTACATTTGGAGTAAATGCCATACCCAAGGTAATGCTCTGCAGATCTTAAAAACGATCCGGTTGGAAGCTAGTGGAGAAAGCATGTTTACTTGAACTAGGCGATAAAGATGACAGACTTAGTTCAGAATTAATCCCACACACTTCAGCCAAATTCCTACTGAGAGCCTCACGAAAGAGTAGATGATTTTCCATAAGAAAACTCAAGTAGTTTGACATCTGAATTATCAAGACTAACTGGTGAGAGTGGCCTATCGAATCCGCTAATCTCAGAACCTGAACCAAGCTTCAGGTTAAAATAGCCAGCGATGACGGGATATAACTCTTACTTTAGTAAGCCTAAGACTTTTGCGAATAAAATTATCCCCATTCTGGGGATCTGAAGAGACCTAATTGGATCTGGTAATGAGTGGGCGAGGTAGTCAGTTGTTGGAGCGGAGAAGCACCGTTATTCCTAATTTCCCCGCTGAGCGGTCACGTTGGGACAGAAACCCCATTTTGAGTGGACAGGTTACCAGGAGACATATGAGTCTGATGGGATAAAAAGCAGTATACTGACGGCAGTAAGCATCGGCAAGACTTATAATGTCACCACTCGACTGCACATAAGTCGGCCTTGGATAACAAAGAGCAATATAGCCGAGCCAAGAACCCGGTCTCATACAGGAAAGTGGGTCATAAATTACCGTAGAATTGCATTCAGTAAGTTCCAATCTGAACGAAAACGTTATGCAATGAATAGAGAATGAGCAACACTAGAATGAGTATTATTCGTTTGCTTGAAAATAAACCATGTAACATTGAGTAAAAAATTTCGTTCCCATATCTCAGGATGAAATACTGAGCTAGTTTTACTAGCCTTGAAATGTTGCTATTCTCCGAATGAAGTATATGAGTTTCTTCCTCGTGGTATAGAAACCATAAGGCCAATTTTGAGACAAACAAAAGAGGAGTAATAGCTACTGCAAGTGAATGAAACACATCTGAAAGGGTCCTTGTAAAGAACGCCAAACTTACTCGGTCGATTAGATCTCTGTTGATGCAATTTGGCAATTGTGTGAGGAATGTTTCCATCAAGATCTTTCCAGAAGAACTCGGATCTTCTTCGGCTAGGACGGGAAGAGATCAGAAGTAGCGATGCAGAAATGGAAACTGTTGTAGTCCTTCCTCATTCTTCAAGTGTACTAGGCTTTACTTCAGATCCGCTACTGTTTAGGCATGCAAATGAGATAGGAACAAAGTTTTTCACCACGCCAGCTGGTTTCCCATTGGCAGGATTTAATGGCATTCACTGATAATCACTGAAATATCACATTCAGTTTTGGAAACACACCCAATGTCTGGCTGATCCGTTGGATGCAGGACGACAACAAAAAGACTTTATTCACTCACTACATTCCTTCGGAGACAAAACAAGTTTGGAAGAATTTGAGAAACTGAAGAGCACCCAACTTACTATCTTCTATGGTGAGTGAGTTTGGTGGCTTGTCTCGCTCAGTCGAATGTGATCCACCCGTACTGTTGATTGCGGCCTCATCGACAGCCTTACAACGAGCTTCTTCTTTGGCCAACTCAGATTCGACTGTCTCCAAATCAATATCTGCAAAGCATGTAGGAAATTCTGACTCATTAGAAATAAGCAGAGCCACATGAACAAGTGTGCAAATTTATATGAAACGCGCAAACAAACTGAGACGTCTTCGTACGACAGAAAATGATTGAGGAATGGAAGTGTCCCCACTACGAAGTTGACTTAGCGGTTGAAAAGAAAGCGATATCAGATGATGATTTCTGAACGCATACAGGTGAGAAGACAGCAGTCATCTTTCATAATATCACCCCCCGAATCGTACACCATTATCACATCACTGTGGACCGGCTGTGGTGCATTGGATCCCTAGGGGACAGGGGAGGCCCACGACATGTAAAGTCGTTCTTATCCACCTGGTCGTTCTCGTTGCGCTGTTTCTAACATCGTCATATCAGACAATGCCACATCCAGGGAAATCCAAAAGGCAATTATCTTAACTTTTATTTCCAACCATCATACAATTGATGTTGTGGAACGGGAAAAGCCAGGGTGCCAAGACCTGTTCGGTCGGCACACTTATTCCCTCCTGTGTTTGTGTCTATCACGATTTTGAAAGCACAAACCGTTCTGAGATTAATGAAGTATACACATTGTATGTCTAGCCGCTTCACAAATACAGTATATTCCATCCTTGTCACCGGTATGGTATATATATATATATATATATATATATATATATTCCCCGTAGCTGGATAGTGAGAACCTAACAGAGAGAAATGTTAGTCGAATTGGAACTAACTGGTTACAAGAAACAGGCTCCACAGAAATCCGATTCTTGATATGACAGCTGAACCCNTATATATATATATATATTCCCCGTGGCTGGATAGTTGGAACCTAACAGAGAGAAATGTTAGTCGAATTGGAACTAACTGGTTACAAGAAACAGGCTCCACAGAAATCCGATTCTTGATATGACAGCTGAACCCTTCATCATTTTCGCTACGCCTGCGCCGAACACGTATCACGGGCTGGTACTCAAAGTAAATGTAACTCCTACATACAGCACTACCTTCATCGGTGGTGACCTCACGTTTCGGCATGCGTTTTACACCTTTAAGGTGTAAAATCTCACCTCACATCCCCCCGTCTATCGCGCCTTTCTGAAACTGCAGAACGAATAACTTGAATTAGTTGGGTGATTCATGTTCTTGATAGCTTCATAAACCATGGCCATACTGTAAAGACTGGCGTCAATGGACTGACGATCAGTGCGCAGGCAGTATTCGCCAAATTGCGCCATTTAGGGCGCCAAAAGCGAAGTTCGTTGAAGTCAATGGGAAGTGTATACAATGCAACTGGAAGGACGACCTTACTTTATGGTTGTGAGACTGTTGGCTGCCTAGTGGAGGGCCTCAGGCATCCTCAAACTTTTGGTCACCAGTGTCTCCGCGTAGCATAGCAAGTGGTCAGGTGGCTGCAGGGAGTACCAAACGATGTGCGTAAGTCGGAGGTTGGTAATGAGGTAGAGCCACTAGGGACTCAGAGTAAACCTACCGCATCAGGATAGCTTGAGCATGTCTGACCACCGTCTTCTCAGAGAAGTGTTGTTTTCCACTTCAGTCAATTATTAGCGAAAAGTTCGCATGGAATAGCCCACCGAATAGCGATGTGAAATGAAGGCGGCTATGTTCAAACAGCGTTATAGGATCTTCGCGCCTGCCTGTTTGGGTCCCAAGTTATCTTGCATGTATGTGGTGAGATGCCCTTCAAGATATGGTATGGAACTGATCCCAGTGGCTTACATGCTGTAATCCCCTGCCGGACTGTCTTCTTGCAGTTAGTCTGTCGCATACTGGGCTCATGTCGCATCAGGTTTGCGAAGGACGCTGAGTGAATCCCAGTGACAGCACCTTAACTCGAGAAAATGTTCAGATATGTTTATTACAGTGCTGTCCAAACGTATAAACACTTTATTTTGAGTCGTTTTCCTCAAGGAAATAGGAATTCTCACAAGGTTCCGACATCTCCATTTTCTTTCGGCTCTTAACTAAAGCTTTCTTCCCTTACTATGGTTATATGGAAGCCAAGCGCCAGTATATATCTCTGGAATATTGATTTCAATCATGGCGATGATGATCAGTCATTCCTCTCTATAAGATTCCCTGATATATGCCTGTTCACAATTCAACTGCCCAGACCAGCAACTAATGCTGAAGGTCATCCAGACTGATGGAAAAGAACATTCAACTGGAACTTGATTAAAAATCGTCAAACGATAAGTCTTGAGCATCAATAAGGTGAAACATCTTATTCGAACCTAAAGGAAGAACGGTTCAAGCGGAAAAATGGTCATAAATAACGCTCCACTGTTTTTCCAATCTTTTGATAACGTTCTTAAAATTCCAGGTAGACCGTGGTGCACGGTAACGTGGGTGTACGGTGACTGTCTTCTCTGTGTAGGTATTAGGAATGAAGTATTTGGAACACTGGCACCTAAACGTTTTCGAGCGCTATGTGGGAGGTTGCTTTTATCCGTAGGCTTGCTTGGAGGGATTCTTAAGAGGGCGAGAGGAGTGCGTCAAACTAAGTGAACGAATCAACATGGACACACGAAATAGAGAAGGCCAGATGTTTAATTCGTGAGAAAGTCTGCCTTCCACATACACCCCACTTGTGTGTTAGCAATGGGTGGAACTTTTGTGGGGATGGTTGTGTATCAAAACCAGCCACACACATTCAACTACAACCGCCGAGAGGCAAACTGTTGTGAGTACAGTTCCCAATGCGTAAACGGGTTGACGTCACCACGGGGTAAGTGAAGACCAAGCTGTCCACTGTCAACTTGAACGCCAGCTAGCTTTGTCGAGGTTGGTGACAAAACCCGAGCATCAGCTGTGCGGATGCCTGGGAATGGGCGTCTACAATATGGGGAATTGGAGGAACCTGCTTTCAATAAAAGTTCACAACAATAAAATAAAAAAAATAAGCGAAGAATCTCACCACGCATTTAAAACACCCCGACAGGCGAAATCTTATTATCCAGGTGCAGCAAATGCGTGACAATGCTGTTGTCAGTCGCTTGCAACACATGAGAACCACAATATCGACGTGAGGTTTTGGTATCCCACGTATCCTCGAGTTTGAAAGTACAATCCTGCTGGTGTATTTGAGCGCTATAATGGTGGAGATAGCATTGCCAAGTTAACTCTTAAGACGCTAATCAAGTACAGTTACTAGGATTCCTGTTTTTAGTTCAGCCGAGTTCTGAGGCCTTATGCTATGGTGAGAAATCAAAACTTTCATTTTTCTTTCTTTCGGTGTTAACACAGAGAGGAGCCCGTAGTTGATGGAATTTTTATACAGTACAAGGGCCCCGGGGTTCATAGAGGAGTGAAGCTTGGACACGCGTTTAATTTATTACGAATTTCTGGGCTCTGAGGCTCGAGTACAACTACAACTGCCGTTTTGAATGACTACCGTCTGAATTGTTGTCATACACATACGTACAGTATAAACAAACCAAGGTTGGTTTGTGTTGTGTCGTATTCTGAACTCTATCTGAGAAGCAGTGGTCAAAATAAAGTTTAACAAAAAACCAATCTTAATGAACCGATGACCATCAGTATGGAACAATAAATTGCAAAGAAAAGATGATACCTTCTGGTCCAGTCCCGTCTGAGTCGTCATGTTTCTCACGACCAGCATCCGGTTTGGTTTGTTCGCTTTCTTTGTACAGAATCTGTGTAAACGAAGAATTGAACATGACGTGTTATTATTCTGATAATTCCAGCGAAGACCATGAAGTTGGGAGAGCACAAAATTCTGACTTACGCCAGGAACCATGGCTCTGATATCCGGAAGACTTTCATAGAACAGACGAGTATCCTCATCCTCGAATAGTTGAGAAGAGACACCAGACTCTTCCTGAAAATGAGAATAACTATCAAGCGGGTAGCTTATCAGAAATTACCTGGTCTGGCTCCGGTGAATCTGAACAGCTTGCTTTCAAGTCTTCTGTAAACCAGATAGAAAAGAAAGGGAGGTGGTTGCGTTGTGTATTTATCATCCTTATGGAAGACAGCAATCACGTAAGAGGAGTGTAACAATAATCCCCTGCTACTCATAAATTCATTTGAATAGCCACAAAACACTTATTCATATAGTTCCACAGAGCCGGCAGCCACGTCCTGCAGCAAATCCAGCCAAGCACGAGGGTTTCACGAGACCATGCACAGGAAAAGGAGTAACGATAACGGCGCCGAATTTCCTCGTAATCTCTTTGTCTGCCTTCTCTGCAACACAGTTCACCACTTTAAATTGAGCAACGAAAACAACGCTCCACTGGGAGAGCGATGACATACAATACGTAGCACATGACCGGGCCACCACAGTTTCTAAGGCTGGATGTATTCCCAAAGTGAAAGCGGTAACAGGCATAAAATTGTGTGGTTGTGCATGCATGAAGAGGATGAAAGTTTTATACCCCATGTCATTTCAGGATATTCACTCGCCACGATGACAGTAAAGCCGCCGTGATTCGATTTGGATGCTTTGGGACACATCAGTTCCGTTTAACAAACGTGCGCATACAGTCGGCGATCAGAGCTTGAACAGGCTTTGACATTTTTCGAGGGACAACATCAAATCGCACAAGTAGCTTAGGCAGTTCTAACTGAAAACTAGTATCGGCCGACCAAAGAGTAATGGTAACGAGCAGTTGATAAGTGTCCTGGAAAGCAAACTAAGGGTTCACAAGTAGTTACTATCCATCATAACCAGCAATAAAATTAATTAACCATACTACGACCTCAGAATGTTGAACAGTGATTCCCCATCATGAGTAGGACCAAGGTAATGCGCATAAACTGCTTGATGAACATATCCGATTTTACCATATTCACATGGATTTTCGAATAAGCTACACGCAAAAACACTTGAGTGGTTATAAAACGCAGGTTCCGTTACCTTATTATTCGAGGGCGGTGTTCTGAGATTAGGTAATAAGCATGTTGGTTGATATATAAATCGTCTGCAAAGAGAACATATAGTAGGATCATTCGACTGTGTGGCGATATCGAATTCGATGGCCGGAACAAAACTCGACGGAATCCTAAAGGAAACTACTCACAAGGTTGCTGAAAACTCTTCGACAACCCACAACCCGATTGATTTGTAAATGTGTATTTCTCGAGAACAGTCCAATTTGAGTTCAAGTAGAACATAAGGTTGATGGAAACTCTGGGACTGCGCCTACCTGATGAGCCCCAAGGAGGACGAAACCGGTCGTGGGCTGTCGAGGAGTTTTCAGCAACCTTGTGAGTAGTTTTCTTTATGAAAATATACTGCGATATCTCCAATATCGTGCCAACTGAAACATGAGGCACTAAGTCCCTCCCCCATCCACCTTTATTCTTTTCTTTACAATAAGGCTTTCAAATAAGTCATGGTTGTACGGCAGTGAAGCATCGGTGTTGAACACTGATTTCATGCTGTCGATGATGATGATGATGATGATGAGGCGACCCGTGTGAAGCACACTCAGTTGCAGAACATCATAAACGAAAGATTCAGTTGAGTCTCTTGTGATAACCAAATTGATTTGCAAATGAGTGTATTTCTCGATAGACGGAATCCTCTTCTGTCCCGCTACCCGAACTAGAGCGTTCGGCCCAGAAGTCTAACCCCCCAGTACCTGGTGGTGGCTCGCTGGATACTCTAGAGTTAATGGTATGCTGTGAAGTCAACTTACATGGCCGGGAGATAGTGTTTTTAGCTCCGAGATAACGGACCAATTTGTTCAGAGGCTATTGACATCGCACTTAATAGATACCGCCATTTACGGGAGCACAGAAATCGTCCCCAAGATCTTGAGTAACTCTGGGAAAACTACCAACACAATTTACCTATCTTGTCAGATGCAGAACATCTCTCCCTGGCTATCACCAATGGCGTGGAGGCGACTGAGTATATATCGCCTCCGCAGATTGAGATCCTGAGACCATAACAAGCGTAGCAAACAAATGAAGGTGTTAGTTTATTATGCGGCTCGTTGCTGTTAAGTTCGGGTCTAGGTACCTTTTACAGTAGCCCTCCCTCCAATTGTTACAACGTTCTCATTCAGGTAAATATGAGTGGTTGATATTATGGTAGTAAAAAGGCAAAAAGGCTAACGGTCTTACTCAAAACATACGAACAATTAATAACACCTTTCGTTTTTTTTAAAAAATTACGTGTAAATGAAGCAGACTGGAAGTAACCACGAAAAACAGCTGCAGACGGCTCACGCACATGATCGAACCGAAGGGTATTCTGCTGAAGATCTGATAAAGTACCAAGACTCTTTACGGAAGTTCTGAGAACTGACTGAAATAATCCGAACCCGATTCTCTATCGCCATCTATCTTCGTCTACGCTTGAACATTTGGTTACATTCCTAAAGTATTTTCACCTCATTGGTATCTTGTTTTCGGCATCTTTCTCATAAGCTAACAGTAAACAATTTTCGATTCAATCTACGGCATTCTCCCGATTCTGTCTTATGCTTCGACAACGCACTGTTACCAAATCTCAAAAATTATGTCCGGAAAACAATATCAGAGGCCATAGTGAAGCTGAAGTGGAAACAACACTACCGATATATATATATATATATATATATATATATATAAGGGGAAACCGTTCCCACATGCAGAGAGACGGAAGACATTAAACCTATCAACCCTTTCCCAGTTTGGTCAATTGTATGCCTTTTAAGCCCGTGCTGCTGCGCGCTTACAACAACCGTAGAGAATGTGTCTTGGCAAATTGCTTCGACCCTAGGCGTCATTAACATCTAAACATCATACAGTCGTTGTCTTGTATTATTTTGTGCGGTGAGAAATTTTTTCAGAAATTGGTTTGAAGGACCCTACTGACGATATCAAAAAGGATCTCACCGATTCAATGGGGATCACATAAAGTCTATGCATGTTTCGCAAAGATTTCGGTATCTCGGTTGGATAGGCTTCTCGTCCAAAAGAGTCTCATCATGCTAGGAAAACTTGTCACCACATCTATGTAAAACGCTGTGGTAGAAAGGCAAGAATATCTCAGCTTTTATGTACATCACTTGCCATCTAAATTCCAACCGCTGAACGTATAGCTGAGGATATGCGATCGCAAACGAGCAGCTTTGATTGGTGTCCTACGCAGCTCATTGCGAGACTTCGGGTTAGAAATAAAAGAAACCTTCATCACTTCTAAGTGTACGTAAACTTCAGACCAAAACATAAGAGACTGAATCAATAGCACACCCATGATGAATAGGATACTGGCAGTGATTTTCAGTTTCAGTAAAGTTGTCAACGTATTAAGTATGTCGGGTTTCTCGAAGGCGCGTGCCAAGACAATGGCCGGAAGCCGTTAGCTTAGGAGGATTTTTGCCATATTAATACGAAATGTAACTCTTACCATCAAAACTTAAAGCATTATGAAGGAACGATTATTAGAAAAATGCACCTCGAGGGCGATGCTCCAGCCCCTCGGTTTTGTGTGTCTAGGAACAGATGGTGTTTGCTTCATTGATAAAAGTATATCCCCCGCTATTGAAGAACATTGTGCACTGAGGATACTGTAACGCCTCGCCTGTGAAAGTCTTTTTCACAGTTAATATAGAAGAGTGAGTTATCACTGTCGCGCGAGCTAATTCTAGTGGAGTCGACAGGACAGATGAATGGATTGTCAAAAAAATAAAACGCGTAAAGATGAACCCACCTTTGATCATTGAGGCGAAATCGGGTGGTGGATCCGAATCCAGCAAATCCGCCAGAGTTGTTAGGGATTCATGGAACTTGCGGCAACTCGTAACCAATTGATCAGCTCTATCTTGCCGCTCCTCACTAACCTCGCCCCTATTTTCCAGTTGATCACGATTGCCTGCCACTATTCGACGTGCCTCCTTCACCATGGTTTGTAAATGGATGCGTGCTCCAGCCAAGTAATCGTGAAACAGACCGCGACACTTGGCCTGTCGCTCAGCCGGCATGAAAGTTGATCTCGGTATTTCAAGGTCGAATTCATTGGACAAAATGCTGAATATCGGAGAGACAATTATGACACACTGTGATGGTATGGGGACTGTGAAGCGAATGACATCATTCATAATTATTGGCAGTACCCTGCTCATGCTCATCGTTCAGCTGTAACATCATTTCGGTGCCTAGCTGCCATGCCACCCGAAGGAAGCACGAGGGCTGAGATACTGCCAGGTTGCCCAAACCTAGACAGGGGAAGTAGAGAGACAGGAGTCAGGTTCAAAGCACGGACCTTCGGGTTAGTAAATCCGCGCTCTAACCACTGAGCCATCTCACCCCCTCTATTCATGTTTAAGTAGCATATATATCAGGTCTAAAGTAACCTTGGAACAGCATCCCGTTAGGCCTCACAACCCTAGGTTTAAAAGCATGGAAGCACGGGTCCTTTAATCCCGTAAACGATCTCATGCCTGAAAGACAAATGTAACAGGCAACTACACATAAATAATAGCCTATTGGAGAACCTTGTTAGCTGCACGGTGCACAAAAAGGAGGGTGCTTTCGACATGACTATTGCAAGCTCTTGCTCAGAGCGCAGGATTAAGAGTCATAGTTTTCAAACCTAAAAGGGGTTGTAATTCATTTGAGAAATAGACCTACTGCGTCCGTGAAGGCTGCGGTTGGTGAGGAACAACTGCCCGTAAAAATATAGGGTACGCTAAAATAAAAGAAACGAGTAGCCCTGTAAAAACAACCGTCGTGTGCTGCTGGTGAAAGGAGAGCCATAGCGTTACAGACAGATGTCCCCACAGACCACAATACGATAACAATCCAAGACTGGAAGCGAATATGCTTATCCATACATGGACTATGTGCTACAAACCAGATTGAAAATTTACTACAACATCAAGCAGTTCTGTTCAGAAAGCGATGAAACCTGTTAGGCATGCCGTGAATCACGTAGAATCAAACTAGGGCACCGCAACCACCATGCAACTGATTACCATATCACCTGATTGCCATTCCCATTTGCAGGAACGATGTCGTGCATCGATGAAAGTGCAGAAGCAATGATTTCGGTAGTGGAAAAAACGATAAACCCCTGTCCATTCCCACTGAACAGTGAACAGTTGCTTTGTGTACGTTGTGGTTCAGCTGAGGCCGAGCCATCGGCAGAACCGTCCTCCCATTCTATATTACAAGCGTGTGGTTGATTGTCTAGACATGTGTAGCGCTTTTGGGCCCAAACAACTAGAAACGTTGCTGGTGGCCATCTGATCAATCACCAGTACACGCACCCGAGCTAACAATACTTCGACACATTGACAACTGGAAACGTTGATCATCATTAGGCTCAGAGTGACCAATAAGAGACGCGTTTCAAGACTGTCACTCGACTTTGTGATAGCACGAGGTAGATGCCTGTTGGCCCCAGAAGTTATGAGGAACTCTCTCATTGAACCTAAATAAAAGAAAGCTATAGGATCGCCAGATGTATCAGTGACAATTATAAAAAAACTGCTTATCAAAGGTGTGACATACCGTATTCTTCGGGGTATGAGGCCGATCCAATCATCACTACAATGCCGACAGAAACTACAAATGATCCCAATGTGGGTAAAGTTCTCCATATCCCCATTGGTTAGGGCAGTTAGTTGACTGGCCAAGATTCTCATTCCTTCCGCTTCACGGAAAACGCCAATGGTGTTTAGATCGGCGAATAGAGCCAAGTCGACACGGAGTTTCGACAAATTAGCATGCTGAACGTTTTCTCATGGTGCACGCGAAAGTGATGACTTACTTTTATGTCTTTGTAGGATGTAAACACCTTCTTCCAAGCATCAAGAAAATGGCAACTGAAATCTGCATAGCGCTGGTGCATTGCTGAACACAGTTTCAGTATAAAAGGAATGTCGGTAATTTTGATTTTAGCCTCCACAATTGCTGTGGCCAGTTCTTCTACATATTTTGACAAATTCAAAACCTCGAATTCCGCTAAAATGTTTTCTTTCTGACTGTCTAAAAAGTTCCTCTGAGAAAATTAGTTCGCTAAAATGTAGAAACTCACGACTTTCTTTACAAAGGCTGTGTTCTTTTTCAAAGAAGAATCCTTTTTTGCAAAAAACGCATCATCTGGCCACTTTCCGGCGACACCCAGATTACGTTCAAGTAAGGATGAACGCAGTGAAAGACGCTCTGTTGTCTCTTGTATGAACTCTTTCAGTAACTTCTATGAGCAAAAATGAACAATACTCGAATAAACTGCTTACAAAATCGTCCGCTGAACGTTGTTCTTCATCCATTCGGGCAAAAACAGTAGCTGAAAAAGATTGACGGGTTAGAAGCAGCAACGTAAGCTAGTAACGGGTCACTAGGTGTAACAGCCTAACTATACAACAGTTTTGAAGTGTGCATCCATCACTGCAGAAAACCTATGAAAAATTTAGAACGAGACAAGAAGTTTGCAGTCTCAAACGCTCGTCCGACCAGAACACATGTCAAAGTTTGTAGAATTTCAACAGCAAAATAGACTTGCTGGGTCAACTGCGCGCTTTTGATGTCTCCCCGACCGGGGGCGAAACTATTGCAAGCTAACTGCCAAGCTCGACGAACATATCAACGACCATCTGATCAACAACCAGTAAAAGGATTGGTAGAAATCGAAAGAAAAAGGTACAAACTTATTCTGAAGACGCCTACGGTCCTTAAGGAGAACGACCAAGGATAATGTACCTGGACCTTCGGATAGCATTAAAATAAGCATCTGAGAATCGTGTCCAAGGCACCATCGGCGGGGAAAACCCAGTGTTCTTTGTGAACCCCACTCGACCTTAGTCTAGCACACCACAAGCGAACTGTAGCTAAGCGGTCGGGCTAAATCACAGCATTCGCACCGCTGGCATTATTTGTGTGGCATGCCCTACAGGGTTTCCAGCCACCTACAAGCAGGATCACGCGGGCCCCAGTCGGAAAAAAGACGTTCAGCTGTAGCACCCTTTCGGTGCCTAACTGCCATGCCACCCGAAGGAAGCACGAGGGCTGGGATACTACCAGGTTATCCATGCCTAGGCAGGGGAAGCCGGGATGCAGAAGTCAGGTTCAAACCACGGGACCTCCGGTCAGTAGACTCAGGCTATAACCACTTAGCCACCTCTCCCACAGCCATGAGGGCGCGAAGATCCCACAGCGCTCACTTTGTTAATGGACGCTTTTATTTCAGGTTGCCATGCTATGCCCTGTACTCCACGAACCTTTCGCCAACGGTAGCTCGGAACAAAAAACATGGTTTCCTTAGGTAGACGGTGTTTGAGTAAGCTCAGTAAATGTCACAACCACCTCAACCTGTGGAGTATGATCTATTGCTCTAACGAATCGGATTCGTTACAAAATACCACCTACAAACTATTTCACGGCACAGTCACTGCAGCCAGCTAACTCTTGCTATGCTAAGGAGACACTAGTGCTCAAATACCTGAAGACGCTTCGGGTTCTCAGACTAGAGAGTCCAGGTCTCATAACCGTGGAGTAATGCCGCTTTTACGGTTGTCTTGCATACCAGACCCTCCAGCTTCTGCAGGATTCGGTTCTGACATCAGAAATGACTCGATATTATCAACGATGCTCGAGCCTTGATTATCCGCGTATCAATTTTGTTGTTGCAATACAACCACGGCCTATACAACTAAGATACGTGAACTCAAGCTCTTCATTCTGGGGTTTCAGAGAAGCACAAGGGGGTGGAGAACACTGAAGTAAGACTTTGCATTCTGAAGATTCAGGAGGCATGTGAACATTCTGGTTAAAGTATTTTGTGCGGACAAGCAATCCAGATGTGTACACTATACGACGATGCCAATGACAAAAGTTGACAAAAAAGCAAGGAGGGTACAACCCTGACGAACTCCACTAGTTGTCATGAAGCTTCTGGATAGTTCAGTACACACCCTAACCCGACCGAAGGTGCGTAGAATGTTTACGAAATAAAAAGCTAAAAATGCTTAGGAGAACTAATTTATGAAGCGATTTGAAGGCTCCTTGAAAGTCGAGGAAGACAGCGGTTTCTGGTCGGCAGTATACGTGATGCTGCTCGTAACGTAAAGATATGAGTAATGCACTCTTTTTACAGGTCGAAATACCGCTCCACACTCCGTCGGGTGCTAGAACAACGCCATATGTACAAATGACCCGTAATTTTAGTATTCTTGGATTTCCAAGACACATTCGACTCGGTTGACCTAGAAAGTGTGAGTAATTCATCTATCGCGAGAGAGTTCATTCTTCCTAAGACCATCTGGCGTACACCAGCATTACTAATCCGATGTTCCCACCGGACCTGACCAATGCTTCGGAGACACCGACGACCGAACACTGACACCTTTCGTGTATACTCTGCACGCGGGCGCCACGCCTTGGATCCGTAAAGCAGTATGGGTTGCACCACCGCAGTGTAAACTCTTTCCTTGACAGACAGACTCACGTCACGAAGAGAGTGGACTTTACCGTGGTGTGGCGGTTTATGTGCCTCGGCGACCCATTGAGCTACACTGGACAGTGTGCGCGCGATGCTCACAGAGTCTCTCATACCAGGTTGGTCTATGGGTAGACGAACAGTCTCCTGGCCCTCCAGGTTGGGGGTTGGAACATCTATGGCGACGTGTTCCGTAAAAAATGGTAATGTACTTGCATTTCCAGCCGAACACCGCTGCTTGCGGTTAGGCTTTTGAGCCAAAGGCTTTGGTCGAGGACCCTAATCGTCCTCCTGTTTCGGTGTGGGTGCCCTGACAGTATCCCAGCCCTCGTACAACCATGACATACACAACTAACAAACATTTTCCAACTGAGTGAAAACTAAAAATATTCTTATGCCACGTCGGCCGTCGCTTGGCGCCATCAGCCGGGTCGCCTTACTTGCTGCATACAGCAGGGCGGGTAAGCAAAAACATGCTACTGCTGACGCTTCCCTTCTTACACTTTCACGTTTTCCTTCTTCCACCATCCCCCACCCCAATTCGAATACTTTCTTCGCAGGTCCCAGTCCTAGGACTGGCCGTTTTGCTCGCCCTGCATCATAGCCCTCGAAAGCCTGTCTACTTAGCCGCCTTCAATGTTCGCACACTGAAGCAAGCAGATCAACAGGTGGCTCTTGCGCGTACGCTGGATTCCCTCTGTATTGATGTATGTTGTCTGTGAGAAACAAAGACGCAGGTCACACGTACTGTGATCTATTTGACTGCCCCCTCACTCTCCTCCAGGTTCCGGCTGCGCACCTCTGGTGATGCAGAGGCCGCTGCAGCCGGATATGATAGGGTGGGTATTGTATTGAGCGAACAAGCGAAAGGGTCTCTGCTTGATTGGATACCCGTTGACGGTCGCCTTTGTGCCGTTCGTCCGGCAACATCTGTGAGAGAGTCTAGAGAAAGTGAGGTTCACCGCACCCTGTTTATTGTGTCTGCATACACCCCAACTGACTGTAGCTCTGAATCTGTCAAGGACAGTTTGTATGACGCTCTAGGTGCCCTTCTACAGCAGGCTAAAAGCTCAGATGTCGTTGTGGTTGCTGGTGATATGAACGCCCAGGTAGGTAG